GTGCACACAGCCCACTCTGTCACCTGCCATAACTACCCATCAGGCCCTTGGATCCTGCTGCCCCCATCCACCCTCTATAGTTGTGTTTGAAGCGTTTAGTTTGAGCGCCTATAGCTGCTGGCGTGTCACATGGCCTGGCTGTGGTGAGGGCTTGTTTTGCACAGTGTTTGTTGGAGACAGAGGTACTGATTCCAAATGACAGTTCTGACTGGGGAGAGCTGGGGCCTAGAACTCCCCGAGTCTAAAGGAAAATGCATCGCAGTTTTCTTTATTTTGAGGTTAGGTGACTATTGTTGCACTCATGCAGTGTGCAGATATTCTGATTCTGAGCAACAATAGGTGAATATTTTTGAAAGAATGTTGAGTGTATATAAATGTATTATTGAATTATTATTCTTGAAGATTCTCTGAAGAGTCCAGGTAAAGTCAAATGTCTGGTATAGTGGTTTGAGTGGATTCAAACAGCACCTCCGCCCTACATCTTTTAATTAGCTATTTTACAACAACTGACCCAATTTCATATTTGTATAAAACACATATGAACATCCCTATAATTGCAGCGTTCTGATTGGTCCTGGGTTGACAGCCGCTTCAAAGCAGGAAAGTAGACACTCGACTATCACAGTTCATTATGTCTTCGTTATGAGTGTTAAACGTTTTAAACCACATAAAGGCAGATCATGCAGCCACAACTTTCTTCTTTGACATCTACTTTCACTTTGACACAACATTTTGTACAATGGTTCACTCGTCTGTCTTATCCAAATTGAATATTACACATTTTGACGATTCTGTTATTATGTTGTTCTTCAAAGGTCGGGCATTAATGAGCCATTTGTGTTAAGTATGGTCCAAAAGACATGTTGCATTTTCATATTGAATCCAGAAGAGAGAAGATGTTAGAGAAAAGTTAAGGCTTTTCACACATTGAAGTAAACCATTTCGACAAAAGCCATTTTCTTCAATCATTTCACCGACCATTCATCACAAATGGCAAGGTGAAAAAGTTATCCTCAGAAGCTTTGTCGATGACCAAAATTTCATCCACACAAAATACAAAGAAAAGGACTTAAAAATAGATTCCGTCGAGCCTCAAGTCTCAGCATGTCTGCACCTGTTCCTGTTCCAGTGAAGGACAAGAAACTCCAGATGCGGCGTGGACCAATGCAAATCAATCATTTTATTCTGAAAGAGATAATTTATGATGCGCACACAGGGTTACGGATCCAATCTCCAGCATGTTCCCACTGTCATGTCCTATGTTTGGGCTTGTCATCAGTCTTCATCAGGTCCTCTGCTTCCATCGCTGCCACCGCCGTCTCCAGAGTCACGATTTATTCCGCAAATAATTGATCGTGACGGCCCGCACGCAAACAGAGAGGGGGCTGGACATGATTAATCACTTTGTTCGATTAATTACGCTTGATTATGCATTTTAAAGAGGCAATCCAGAAGCATTTAATGGCTGGGATAGTAGACAACTGTTTAGAGACCTTTTCCCTAATGGCCTTGATCGAAGTACAGTGACAACATGTAGGAAAAGTCTTACAAGGAACTATACGTGAAAAGTGCTGATGATAAAAGTATTGACTTTATGCAACAACTCTAAACTGTCTAATAATAAACTTTTTTTTAAATAATATTGCTTATAACAAACCTGATCATCAATATATTTGATAGATAGATAGATACTTTATTGATCCCCGTCGGAGAGATTCAGGCGTCCAGTAGCAGCAGAAACACATTCATTCATACAAACAAAACAAATAAATACGTAATTCTAAAAGTAGCTAACAATAGTAATAAAAAGCAACAGCACTTTAGGTCACAGCAGCAGAGATGGAAGTGAGTTTAAAAACAGAAAATAATGGATAAAATATTGTTTTTGGTGCAGAGTGTGTTGAACCTGGAGGGAAAAAGCCTCTGCTGAACCATGTTTGCTGCACATTTCACATTTGATCCGAGAAAATGCTTATTTCAATCTAATTGTTGAATGTTGTCTTTCATACTTTTTTGATATATATATTTTTTTTCTATTGGTCATCCAGACATAAAAAAATAGTATGGGCACATTGGGCAGCATCATTCAGTCCTCTTGGCACAAATGGCTGCTTTTACAGTATTGTAGCGGACAAAAAGTTTTTCCTTGAAGCAGAAATAGAAGTGAGGAGGATCCATGGATAGTCCCAGTGAGAACAGATAGTCCCAGGCCAGGCACATCACACACATCAGGCTCCTGGTTCAGCATCAGTGTGATGAAAGCAGCACATTCTTCTCTCCTGGTTAAACACGGTTTATTATTCTGTTTTAGTTTTCCATTACTTTATTAAAAAATAAAACAATCCATCCATTTTCTTTCCCTTAATCAATTTCTGGCTTGGGGGGTGGCAGTCAGGGCTGCACCCAATTCCCAGAGCACCAGCCCCTCACTGATCCTCCTGCAGCTGGTTAGTCCACAAGAGGATGGCTGCTCTTTCACTGCATAGCCTTAATCTTTCAGCGGGGGCTTCAGGTAAAGTGGGGCTAAGTGTCTTGCCCAACAAAAACAACGACAGCAGTGGGAGTGGGTGGAGTAGGTCTTGTGATTGACTCGAACCCACAACCTTCAGGCTCAAAGGCCAATGCTCTACCAACTGAACCTCATAGAGGAGGTAGACCTAGTGTACATGTTTTTCGTCGTAGGGAAAACCGGAGAATCCAGAGGAAACCTACGCAGACACGAGGAGAAAATGCAAACTCCACTGAAAGACCCTGTTCCATCCAGGATTCAAACCCAGGACTTTCTTGCTGAGAAGCGAGAATGCTATCCTCTGTTTATATTTGAACCAACTCTCTCTTTGGTTGTGTTGATGTTTTCTTATAATCTGTTCTAATATTTTGTTTCCTAAGTAGAGCATCATCCAGTGTTTAACATCTGCTAACCCTGGTACATGTTATTCTTGGACCAAATTCAATCCAGTGATTGGCTCTAACAGTGAGAAAACACAGAAAGTTGTATTAGTGATAAGTTTTACATTTAAAGGAGGGGTACCTGCTTTATGAGCAGTAGACTTGTCTGTATTCCTTTATCTCAAAAAGAGTTTTTGGCCTCTTGCACCACAGCAGCAGCTTCACAAAAGTGGATCATGATCATGCAAAAGGTTTCATTAATCTTCACTTATTTATATACTTTTTTTCAACTGTAACAAACATTAATCACAAAATTGTGCCCTTGCCGCAGACACTGCAGACACACTCATGGCTCGGTTAACTTTGCCACAAAATTCTTGAGGGTAAAACATAATTTTAGAAATGATATTAAAACTGTTTGGTACCCCTGTTTTATCCTGCTTTGAAAAGTGTTTTTATACTTCTTTTGTTGAATGATTTTAGGAAGTAATTTGGGGAGGTCAATGTGACTGAGTTCAAAGCCTTATAATTCTTCAAACCTTCCATCATTAAATACATCGTGAGTGAATCAGGGAAATCGTATTGCCCTATCTGACATCCTTTCATAGCCAGGTAATACAATCCCATTCCCAGTGAAAATTGCAAATCAGATCACATAAGCAGGTCCACGGAAAGCAATTACGATTCACTGAAACATGTAATATAATCAGGGAAAAATGGAATGTATTAAGGTAAGGGCATTCTCTTTTTCTTTGGGCTATTGTTCAAATAGATCTGGTGAGCAATTGTCCCTTTAGAAAAGCCCAAACTTATCTGGACTGAAAGACTATTGTGAATGAACAAAATCACTGGCGGAGCGACAGTCGTGATTGAGGTGAATGAGAAATATCGCTTGTTTCACCGAGAGGCCCATAGCAGCACTCAACCTTAATTAAGCTTGTCTTATGGCAATCCATAGCTCCTGAGTGTCCGCTTGTCGGACACAGCGTTTAATCGATTCAGTTCAAATTATAACAATTTAAAGGAAAATGGAAATGAAGTGCCAATATGGGAGGAAAAATTCACTAACTTTACCGGTTAGTAAATAATGACGGCTGCTGCTTCAGTGCTGATCTTCAGTGCCCCATCCTGATTTTTACATCAAATTACTTTAATTATTAGGGATTATTTGCAAGTTTCTGGATATTTAAAAAGTACATGCCCTCAGCAGTTAGAGGAGAGAGGTGTAGGGTCAGAGTGTGGTTTGGGCCTGTGTTTTGGCAAGACACAATATATATACTGTATATATATATATATACAGTGTATACATACAATAAACTAGCATTAATCTGAAGTGTGTGCGTCTGTATGATGGGGGTGGTCGGAGAGAAGAATGGCATAGATACGCAGCCACACTGAGGGCAGACGTGACTTTGGCTGGTGAGCGGAGGTGCAGATTCCAAGCTGAACCTTTGTTAATGAACTAAAATGTATTAACTATGATATTGGAAACTGTAGCGCTGAGCAACAATATGAGAATGCGTAATATGTTTTGAGCGAAATTTGTTCAAGTACAGTTTATGGTTTATTTATTTATAGCATAAATAGGTTGCAACTCTATAGCAATTGTTTTCCCAACTCATACTTTTATCATAGTGCATGTTTTTAATACTGTCCTCACTTCTAGACACCTTTATCAGAGTACAATTAGACCATAGTTGATATGTACTGTCGGAGAAAATGAGGAACTTTGGGACAGTTTTGTTCCGTATGGATTGGCCCCGGAATGACAGATAAAATGCTTTTGACAGCGACCAGGGAAAAAAAACTAAAAACTGCTGTCGTAGACAACATTGTTTATATATACTTTGCGGTAATTTTGCTTAAATGCATTGTACTGAAGAAACTGAAAAAAGAACAGTAAAAAACCGCAAATGCAGTAAATGTATCAAGAATGCGAGTAAGAGCCAGAGTCGCTGTCGTCTCCGGTGAGTGCTGCTGATCCAGTGCATGTGTGAAGTCTGTCTACAAGTCCAGTCCTATTCCTCCAGAGTCTGTCAGAAGCAGCCAATACTTAGCCCCATCACAATGATAGATGGAGCATAATCACACGCTGACATTCCTGACGGAGAATGGCACGGGCCGAAACGCCAGCGTCAGCGCCATTGATCATGCACTGGGTTTTTGGAGGCCGCGCACTGGAGAGAACTTACTTTGTGACAGTTTTCCATTGTGAGGTCAGGAGGAGCCAGATAATGACTTACAGCAGCATGACCCAGCGACAGGACAGCTGGATGCTGGGTAAGAACAGGAAAGGTCAAAGGGATTGGCTCAGATTGACCCGATGTATATAATGGTGGCACACTGACACTGACTGAGTTCTTATTCACAATTACTTCTTAACTTATTCCTCCCGTTTCATTGCTACCCATCTCCTGAAATTTTATATTTTACTTTTGGTCTTAAAGGCACAGTAGATATTTTTCTGTATCTGTGTCCTCAGAAACAAGGTTGACATGTGCAAATCATATTATGGCTGATTTATTTTTATTTATCATCATTTATGTTAACCCATTAGGTAACAGCGTAGCAGAATTGCATCATGAATACTCTTGAATCCTCGTCACTTTCTATACAGTGACTTGGCTTCCCACAAACATTTTTCTATCTTGTTTTTCTCTTATTTATTGCTGTTATTGGTTTTAACATCAATACTAAAGGGTTGAGAATTCAATTTGGGTCTGAAGATGATAATCCAATCAGAGGGCACAATTAGAATCACACGAGTTCCTTGTTTGTGTTGCCAGTTTCTTTGGTGAAATCCTGCTGGTTTGGTCACTACCAAAAGCCCCACAGGTGAGGCACAACAGCAGCATGTGCAATCAAAATGCAAGGTTTGGGTTATTTTTGTGATGGGTTAAATCAGCAGTTTAATCCATCTATCCATTTTCTTCCGCTTCACCCATTGCCAAGTTAAGAGGGCCAAATGGATCCAAAAACACACTGCCTGTAGCTCATCTTGGGGAGTCCTGATGCGTTCCCAGGCCAGAGAGACATGGTCCCTTCTGCAGGTTGGGGGGTCTCCTCCCGGTCGGCATGTCCAGGAGGCTGATTTCAACATTGTATCTGTGATCTTGTCCTTTCGGCCCTTACTCAAACTCTTGCCTGGACTTAGACATCCATAAACTCTGGGTATTTATCATTTCTAGTCTGATCATAGTGGCTGTAGTTTCCTCGGTTGAATCCCCTCCGACCAATCAGCGAGCGGCGAAGGCGGGTGTTGCAGGTCGGTGTCGGTGACGTCAAGAGTTTGCGCCAAATTCACTGGTTGTAGTTTGGCAATGGCGGGGAATGCGTTAGTAAAGTAATCCGTTCTAGTTTGGCTCCAAACATCAAGAAATTGAAACCGGAGCAAAAGGAATGTTTGGCAAATGTCATTGCTGTAAATATGTTCCATTAGTGGCAAAGGAGATGGCTAAAGCTAGGCTAAATGGTAAAAGCCTCAGATCCAATTGTTTCCATCTGTAAAAAGAGTTAACCCCTCCCACCCCTTGCACAATGGAGCAAATCCAGACATGAGTATGAAATTAAATTAGTACGATGGTATGGTAAGACCAGGCTACCAAAGCCAATGACCATAGGTGAGGATGGGAAGGTTTATTGTTTCAGCTCTCTCTTCACAAAACAGTCTCAAACCGCATCACTGCACACTCAGGCAGGTGTAGAATCATTGTCGAATGTCGAAGCCCATGACCGGGGAAGAGCCAAGTGAACTCTAGAGTGTTCTTCAAAGGGTCAGAAGTCCTTTGCTAACTGCTTACACGGTCTCAATGGATACAAGAAAAAACATTTCAGAAAACCCCTAATCCTTGCTCCAATGCCACATCAAAGGTTGGACCCCTGCAAAGAAAAAGACCTTGAGCAATGTTCATTTTCAAATTATGAATAATAATTATGGCTTCTTATCTTGATGAAGTGAAATCTTTGTTGGTTATTATTTGACATGTTATTATATGCAATCCTCCAGCTTACGCCTTCTCATTGTTTGAATTGATCTGAAACCTAAACTTTTTCCAACTATTTGCCCATGTTCGAATGTGAAAAAACCTAATCCCCAGCTCCTGTCTGAGTTATAGATTTAAAGTAATGGAATGACAATCTCAGACGCTCAAGTTCTTTTTACTTTGAAATATACCTTCCTTGTGACGCACTGAAGTGTAGATTCAGAATATTATTGGAGATCAAAATGACTGTTGTAGATCATTTTTGTTTGACACGTTTTATTGATCCATCAGTCGGGCCTCATATGAGCTCTGCAATCCAAGCCTCAAAAGAATCCCCCGCTGCTCAACTGAAGCCATTGAAGCCATTTTCAAACTAATGAAAAAAATTAGACTAGTGACTGTTGGAATTTAATCTGGCAATTCCAGTATTTTAAGTGTGAGGATTTGACACGGTACGTTTCTTAAAAATCTAGTCGTAAAAATGTGAGATTGATATGAGGCCGTGAAGTTGGGTTTCAAATCGGGCACATTTGCATCGAAATGGCATTGTATACAGCGGCACTGATTCAATGTACTGTGATTATTAATCATTTTAATGAATTTTGTTTCTTATCATGTGAGTTCCCTTTTATGAACTGTGCTATACAACTTGCCTAGCCTTATATAGATGTTTGTAGATGTCTACAACTGTACATTTTGTGCACACATGTAACAATAACAGAAGTAGAAACAAGGTCCAAAAACAAACCAAATGAATTATAGAAGTCCAAGGTCCTTTTGATTGTACAAGACACACCTTCATTATGCAGATAGGAAAGTACCAACAGAACAAAAGACACTCCGTATTAGAGTATACACAGCCTGCTTCCTCCTGATGTTGAACGTACGAGCCCGCCAGACTTCCTGGAGTCTTCCTGGAGCTAGAGTGAATTACAATACGAGCTTTCTGCAATATATTTTAGCCACATGTGATCTACTAAAATTATAACTTAAGTAACATTCTAATGTCACCGTGTTAACCATGTAGGCTGCCATAATGTCTTGTATGTTAGGGGCATATAGATCATATATGTAATTGGCTAATGTGATTGGCATAAATGTAAGAACTGAATGTTATGCATTTTTTACATTTTGACAAGACCTCTACTCTGACCTCTACTCTGACCTCTACTCTGACCTCTACTCTGACCTCTACTCTGACCTCTACTCTGACCTCTACTTTGACCTCTGCTCTGACCTCTGCTCTGACCTCTACTCTGACCTCTACTCTGACCTCGACTCTGACTTTCTGCATAAGTGACATATGGATCAAACTGTGATCACAATCAAATGAGAGACAGCAACAATTAAATCTTTTTCCAGATCTGGACAATGGTACTATAGATGTTACAAGTGCTCTGAAACTAATTTAATTTTTGGTATAGTGAAGGCATATAAAACTTTCCCATAAGCTCTTACCAATCTGATTGTCTGAAATCTGTGGTTGGAGGGTAAATACTATCTCATTTGGCCCAGTGTAAATAAAAGACTATTCCAAACCATGTCAGATCTAATCAGACAGAGCCCATTGTTCAGCGGGGAACAGATAAAAGTGTCTGTGAATTTGCATGAATTTTCAATGTCTCCAACATGGGCTTGTCGAGATAAAAATGATTATAGACAAAGAGATAGAGCATACACTGGAGATGAATTCTGCACTTGTTCACTCACTGCCACACATTTATACATGTAACTACATACTATATTATTTAAGGAGAGATACTGCTCAAAGAATATGTGACTTTTGGGTGAAAATTATGGAACAACCTCAACAATGGTACGAGATAAGATAATTTCAATTGAAATATGCGATAGTGAGTTCCTAATTTCAAACACTTGTGAGATTTCATAACACTTTGAAGCACCTTTTGTTAAGGTTAAACTCATCATTCTACCAATGTGCAGAAGCCTGTACTTTTCCACTACTTGTTTTGACTATCTCTGCTGGCACTGTGGCAGCTGCTGATTGGAGGTCTCTGTTTTCTCCTGAGTATATTATCATAACGTGTCCCCCTAGGACACGTTATGGCCCGTCATAACGTGTCCTTCCACTGCTCTGCGGACGACACACAGATCTACCTCCCGCTGAGACCAAACCACCCTGGAGTCTGTCTGCTGTGGTCGACTGTTTTAACGATGTGAACAGTTGGATGGACCATAACTTTCTACAGCTCAACACCTCCAAATCTGAAGTCCTCCTCATCAACCCGCCTCCATCTATATCCCACATCCAAACCCACCTCGGCCCTGTCCTCAAACATCACTCCCTCCGCCCGTAACCTTGGTGTCATTTTTGATTCTCACCTCACTTTCCGCTCCCACATCAATAAAACCACCCAAACCTGCTTCTTTCACCTCCGCACAATCTCAAAGATTAAAAACATCCTCACTCCTCCCGATATCCATAAAGTTGTCAACGCCCTCATCTTCTCCCGCCTCGACTACTGTAACTCCCTCCTCTCCAGTCTCGACGCTAAAACCCTCTCCCGCCTCCAACTGGTCCAGACGCAGCAGACTTGTCACTGGTTTTAACAGAAGGGAGCACATCACCCCTGTCTTAGCGTCCCTCCACTGGCTCCCTGTGCGTTTTAGAATTGATTTTAAGATTTTACTGATTACTTTTAAAGCTCGTTTAGGTCTGGCACCAAGCTATATTTCTGAACTTTTAACCCCCTACGAGCCCCCCCCGCAGCCTTAGATCCTCGGGCAGGTCCCTGTTGACTGTTCCAAGGTCGAGGCTCCGGACGAAAGGAGACCGAGCCTTCTCTGCCCGGGCTCCTCGGCTTTGGAACGACCTGCCCGAGGAGATAAGGCTAGCACCATCAGTATCCTCTTTTAAATCTCTTCTTAAAACCCACTTTTATCAAACAGCTTTTAACTGTTAGTTTTAAACTTCCGATGCTGTATTTTAATGTCTGCTTTGTCTTTGTTGTGTCTCTTTTGTGTTTTGCTCTGTTTGCTTTGTGTTTCTGTATCTAATTATTTTGACCTTGCATTATGACTGTTTTTATTGTTTATCATGCTGACTGTGCAGCGCTTTGTAAACACTGTTTTTAAAAGTGCTATATAAATAAAGATTATTATTATTATTATATTATTACTTGCTGTCTAACATTGGTTGTTCGTGTTGTGCTGTCTCTACCATTGACAATAAAACATGTCTTCTGTCTGAATTAAAGACACGATCCCAGACATTGGCTGATTCTCTTCACACTATATTGCAGAAAAAAAACGCCAACGACAGTGGTTGGTAAACCACAGTTAATGAAATATTGTGACCATAGTGACGCCATACATGCATCTGTCCATAGTACCTACGTATTTTTATGTAAAACACTGCATGTCAGTCTCTTATTCAGAGAAATTAATGAGATTCCCTCGCTGAGCGTGATTTCTTGCTATAGAGAAATTGTTATCTCCACTTCAGAATGCATTTTTTGATTTTGTATTTGTGCCCAGTATGAGTGTGGTTGATAAGATATAGGATATGATATGGGACATTTAAGGACATTTAGAGACATCCCACTTCATATGGACCAATGGCTCCTTTGTGTTTGCCAAATGAACCACCTCAGACTCTGAGGAGCAAAGGGGCACAGGACTAAACATGGAAAGGCAGCATTTCAGATTTATGTGAATAAAATCTGGAACGGTCTGAAAATGTGAGACAAGCCTCTTCTCTGAGAAAGTTTAGATCCAGGGTAAAACTGTTTAGCTGTTATTGTATCAGTCTTTTTAATGTACTGTGGTTATTTATTTTAAAGCCTTGTTTGCTTTAGAAGCAAAACAGCTAAACTGTTTGCTTCTCTGATCTGTTTTTGGCAAATCTACAACTTTAGTGACTACTGCTGTGAATTGGGGCAACACAAAAATAATTATCTGCAGTTGACACATAATTCCAATGCTTCAAAGGCGTCAGGAGCAGTGGTCACAGTGTTACCCAGGGCACATCTGCAGGTGTCGATGCTGAGCTCGGTTGGAGTTGTTTTGCTGAAGCATGTGTTGATTGGTGGATGAAACCAGAGCCCTGACAGTGGGTCAATCATTTTTTCATTTTTTAACTTAATTCATACATTGATGAAGTCTATTTCTTTTTATTATAACTTCAACCAATGCATTTCATTACGTTTAAATTCTCTGTGAGACTTTTTCAGACATTCATTTTATAATCATGTATTATTAATCTTATATGATTAGTGCAGAAAGTTGGTCAGTCTGGTGAAAGACCCCTGATTCATTCCTACTCTTTTTAAAATGTCAGCCCGGTGAACTTTTGCACGTTCAAGAGACTGGCCGCCGATTTAAAGCTAGAAAGATGGTTAAATAAGAAGCTTTGCAAAGTGATGCAGACACGAGCCAAAAACTAACTTTTATTTCTCAGAAGTTTGGGAAAGTAAACTCAAGCATCAACATATATGCAGGGACTAAAAAGTCGATGCTGTTAAAGAGTACTTTGTTCTGACTTGTCCTTGAAACTAAAATAATGTTTGTTTAATCTTCGCTGAGTTTCCAGGTCGAAACTTCCAGCTCAGTGCTGAGCTTTTCAAAGCATCCCATACTCTCATGGTTCTTATTTATTCAGTTGTTATGATAGTGGTCAATCATGCATTGATTGGCAAAGTATCCATGCAGTCACGTATTATATCTTCAAAGTCGGAGAATATAGATGTAGCTAATTGAATAATTGTGCTATTACATAATCCATAGTTTGTTCTTCACACTAATGAACACATCTCACACTGTCCTGACATGTCCAAGTCAACACTGCACTGCAATATATATGTTCAAGAGGGTGGTAAGCAATTATACAGGTATTATGGACAACACAGTAATTATGGCTTGCTCACGAAATGAGTCCGTGACAGGATTGATGAATACATAAAGCAACAATGCAAAACATTTCTATTTTATGTTACTTTTTGGGGAAAAATTGAAGCTACCAAAGTGTGAAGAAAGCAACAAAAAAAACTCCAAGTGTATGATATGAACATACTCACCTATAATGTTCCTAGTTACATATGTGTTAATGCATAATTTAATAACATTTAATTTTAGGTCGTGCTTTTACATGATAAATTCACCACAATCCAGGTAAAAACAAACAAAGTGTTGGGGACGTCTCCCCTGCTCTTCTCCCTGTACACCAACCACTGCACCTCCTCCCACTGCACCTCCAACCACTGCACCTCCTCCCACTGCACCTCCTCCCACTGCACCTCCAACCACTGCACCTCCTCCCACTGCACCTCCAACCACTGCACCTCCTCCCACTGCACCTCCAACCACTGCCCCTCCTCCCACTGCACCTCCAACCACTGCACCTCCTCCCACTGCACCTCCTCCCACTGCACCTCCTCCCACTGCACCCTCCAACCACTGCACCTCCTCCCACTGCACCTCCTCCCACTGCACCTCCAACCACTGCACCTCCTCCCACTGCACCTCCTCCCACTGCACCTCCAACCACTGCACCTCCTCCCACTGCACCTCCTCCCACTGCACCTCCAACCACTGCACCTCCTCCCACTGCACCTCCAACCACTGCACCTCCTCCCACTGCACCTCCAACCACTGCACCTCCTCCCACTGCACCTCCAACCACTGCACCTCCAACCACTGCACCTCCAACCACTGCACCTCCAACCACTGCACCTCCTCCCACTGCACCTCCTCCCACTGCACCTCCAACCACTGCACCTCCTCCCACTGCACCTCCAACCACTGCACCTCCTCCCACTGCACCTCCAACCACTGCACCTCCTCCCACTGCACCTCCAACCACTGCACCTCCTCCCACTGCACCTCCAACCACTGCACCTCCAACCACTGCACCTCCTCCCACTGCACCTCCTCCCACTGCACCTCCAACCACTGCACCTCCTCCCACTGCACCTCCAACCACTGCACCTCCAACCACTGCACCTCCTCCCACTGCACCTCCAACCACTGCACCTCCTCCCACTGCACCTCCAACCACTGCACCTCCTCCCACTGCACCTCCAACCACTGCACCTCCTCCCACTGCACCTCCTCCCACTGCACCTCCTCCCACTGCACCTCCAACCACTGCACCTCCTCCCACTGCACCTCCTCCCACTGCACCTCCAACCACTGCACCTCCTCCCACTGCACCTCCTCCCACTGCACCTCCAACCACTGCACCTCCTCCCACTGCACCTCCTCCCACTGCACCTCCAACCACTGCACCTCCTCCCACTGCACCTCCAACCACTGCACCTCCAACCACTGCACCTCCAACCACTGCACCTCCTCCCACTGCACCTCCTCCCACTGCACCTCCAACCACTGCACCTCCTCCCACTGCACCTCCAACCACTGCACCTCCTCCCACTGCACCTCCAACCACTGCACCTCCTCCCACTGCACCTCCAACCACTGCACCTCCTCCCACTGCACCTCCAACCACTGCACCTCCAACCACTGCACCTCCTCCCACTGCACCTCCAACCACTGCACCTCCAACCACTGCACCTCCTCCCCACTGCACCTCCAACCACTGCACCTCCTCCCACTGCACCTCCTCCCACTGCACCTCCAACCACTGCACCTCCTCCCACTGCACCTCCTCCCACTGCACCTCCTCCCACTGCACCTCCAACCACTGCACCTCCTCCCACTGCACCTCCTCCCACTGCACCTCCAACCACTGCACCTCCAACCACTGCACCTCCAACCACTGCACCTCCTCCCACTGCACCTCCAACCACTGCACCTCCAACCACTGCACCTCCAACCACTGCACCTCCAACCACTGCACCTCCTCCCACTGCACCTCCAACCACTGCACCTCCAACCACTGCACCTCCAACCACTGCACCTCCTCCCACTGCACCTCCAACCACTGCACCTCCAACCACTGCACCTCCTCCCACTGCACCTCCAACCACTGCACCTCCTCCCACTGCACCTCCAACCACTGCACCTCCTCCCACTGCACCTCCAACCACTGCACCTCCTCCCACTGCACCTCCAACCACTGCACCTCCTCCCACTGCACCTCCAACCACTGCACCTCCAACCACTGCACCTCCAACCACTGCACCTCCTCCCACTGCACCTCCAACCACTGCACCTCCTCCCACTGCACCTCCAACCACTGCACCTCCAACCACTGCACCTCCAACCACTGCACCTCCTCCCACTGCACCTCCAACCACTGCACCTCCAACCACTGCACCTCCAACCACTGCACCTCCAACCACTGCACCTCCTCCCACTGCACCTCCAACCACTGCACCTCCAACCACTGCACCTCCAACCACTGCACCTCCAACCACTGCACCTCCAACCACTGCACCTCCTCCCACTGCACCTCCAACCACTGCACCTCCAACCACTGCACCTCCAACCACTGCACCTCCTCCCACTGCACCTCCAACCACTGCACCTCCAACCACTGCACCTCCTCCCACTGCCACCTCCAACCACTGCACCTCCAACCACTGCACCTCCAACCACTGCACCTCCAACCACTGCACCTCCTCCCACTGCACCTCCAACCACTGCACCTCCAACCACTGCACCTCCAACCACTGCACCTCCTCCCACTGCACCTCCAACCACTGCACCTCCTCCCACTGCACCTCCAACCACTGCACCTCCTCCCACTGCACCTCCAACCACTGCACCTCCAACCACTGCACCTCCTCCCACTGCACCTCCAACCACTGCACCTCCAACCACTGCACCTCCAACCACTGCACCTCCTCGCACTGCACCTCCAACCACTGCACCTCCAACCACTGCACCTCCTCCCACTGCACCTCCAACCATTGCACCTCCAACCACTGCACCTCCAACCACTGCACCTCCTCCCACTGCACCTCCAACCACTGCACCTCCAACCACTGCACCTCCAACCACTGCACCTCCTCGCACTGCACCTCCAACCACTGCACCTCCAACCACTGCACCTCCAACCACTGCACCTCCAACCACTGTACCTTCAACCACTGCACCTCCAACCACTGCACCTCCAACCACTGCACCTCCTCCCACTGCACCTCCAACCACTGCACCTCCAACCACTGCACCTCCTCCCACTGCACCTCCAACCACTGCACCTCCAACCACTGCACCTCCAACCACTGCACCTCCAACCACTGCACCTCCAACCACTGCACCTCCAACCACTGCACCTCCTCCCACTGCACCTCCAACCACTGCACCTCCAACCACTGCACCTCCAGCCACGACTCCGTGAAGCTCATCAAGTTCGCTGACGACACCACCCTCATTGGACTCATTTCCAACAACGATGAGTCCGCCTACAGGAGGAGGTGGACCGGCTGGTGTCTCCTACAGGAGGAGGTGGACCGGCTGGTGTCTCCTACAGGAGGAGGTGGACCGGCTGGTGTCTCCTACAGGAGGGAGGTGGAAAGGCTGGTGTCCTGGTGTCTCCTACAGGAGGGAGGTGGACCGGCTGGTGTCCTGGTGTCTCCTACAGGAGGGAGGTGGACCGGCTGGTGTCCTGGTGTCTCCTACAGGAGGGAGGTGGAAAGGCTGGTGTCCTGGTGTCTCCTACAGGAGGGAGGTGGACCGGCTGGTGTCCTGGTGTCTCCTACAGGAGGGAGGTGGACCGGCTGGTGTCCTGGTGTCTCCTACAGGAGGAGGTGGACCGGCTGGTGTCCTGGTGTCTCCTACAGGAGGAGGTGGACCGGCTGGTGTCCTGGTGTCTCCTACAGGAGGAGGTGGACCGGCTGGTGTCCTGGTGTCTCCTACAGGAGGGAGGTGGACCGGCTGGTGTCCTGGTGTCTCCTACAGGAGGAGGTGGACCGGCTGGTGTCCTGGTGTCTCCTACAGGAGGGAGGTGGACCGGCTGGTGTCTCCTACAGGAGGGAGGTGGACCGGCTGGTGTCCTGGTGTCTCCTACAGGAGGGAGGTGGACCGGCTGGTGTCCTGGTGTCTCCTACAGGAGGGAGGTGGACCGGCTGGTGTCCTGGTGTCTCCTACAGGAGGGAGGTGGACCGGCTGGTGTCCTGGTGTCTCCTACAGGAGGAGGTGGACCGGCTGGTGTCCTGGTGCAGTGGTAACAACCTGGAGCTGAACGCCCAGAAGACAGTGGAGATGATTGTGGACTTCAGGAAGAGCACTGTCCCCCCGCCCCCACCCTCCGTGATGGACTCCCCCATCACCTCTGTCCCCCGCCCTCCTCCATCACCTCCGCTATCACCTCCTCCATCACCTCCTCCATCACCTCCTCCATCACCTCCTCCATCACCTCCTCATCACCTCCTCCATCACCTCCTCCATCACCGTGTGGTTCGCTGGAGCCACAGTCAGGGACAAACAGAGACTACAGTGCATTGTGCGCTCTGCAGAGGAAGTGATCGGCCGCAGCCTTCCATCGCTGCAGGACCTGTACGTCGCCCGAGCTGGTTGTATTGCGGCCCTCTCACCTGCACATGGACTGTTTGCACCTCTCCCCTCAGGCAGGAGGTTTCAGTCAATTCAGACCAGAACCTCCCGCCACAAGAACAGTTTCTTTCCCTCTGCTGTTGGACTTTTTAACACTTCATAACCTTGTCCCCCCGCCCTTTATAAAGTCACTTTACTGCTGTCACCTTACTGCACTGCTTAATGCCTATTGTGTGCACCAAGAGCATTTGTATAGTAATAATTGTAATAATTTAAATCAATTTTTTATATTTTAGAAAAGTTTGTAGATTGTTGTTATGCCTTATTCTATTCTCTACTTTTGACTTCTTTGCATCGAGAGCCAAAGCAATTTTCTAGTCTGTGACTTACATGACAAAAAATATGATTCTGATTCTATTTCTTCCCTATCCCTTTTGAGAAATGTGTGAATGTATGAGACTGATATTACGGCCTTGTCATAGCGTAGTGTTCCACGTCTGTTTAATTGTGCAGACCCCTATGTCTTATTGAGGAATGATCTGTGAATATAACAGGACTTATACAGGAACCACCCAAAGGCCTTCACACAGACGACATTGATTAGATGACCCAAGCCAAGGATTGCATCTCTAATCATTTATTCTGCTCCTGTATTAAACCCCGCCTCCACCATTGCACACCGGGCTCACGGGTCTCCAGGGCATTGGCGAGTTGCGGGCTTAGTGATGGAGGCTTTTGCTCTGTTTGCGCGGGGGTGGAGCTTACCGTCGACTGAGCGAATATTTTTCTGATAAATATTTAAGGATTTCGAGGGAGAGGTGCACAGAACAATCGATGTGATGTAGCAAAAAGGGAGAATTCCTATGGGGGCCACTTTGCAAAGTAAACGTGGGGTGGTTTCTGCAAAGATTGACGTTGGGAAAAGGCTTAGATCTCAGTGTTAGTCAGACTTCAGAGAGAGAGGCGGCGAGAGAGAGGCGGCGAGAGAGCTGCTCGTTGGTTGTCCGTCTCACACACAGAGTGGAATATTATTGCATGAAACAGGTCATTTTATAAGGATCTTTTAAAAGCTTGAAATTATAGTCAAACTGAGCTTTTCGTTACTCTAGTTTGTAAGATGTAGTGATTTTCTATTTGATATTGTGGTTCTCTGAAGGTCAAAGCAAAAGTATTTATAGTCAATGTGAGAGATGCTGAGGGGATTTTCTAAAGTGGCTAAAACCATGTGAAGGCTGTGAAAACTATGCTCATACCATGAAGTTATAGACATGGGTTTGATACATGTCCTATTCAATAATTTTAATTTTTAATTTAACAACAATATTTCCACGCTTTTATCAGTTCAAGAATTGATGACTGTAAAGCCCTTTATTTTGGAGTTCCCCAGTCTGGTTTTAATCGTCTTCAGTTTTTGCAAAATGCTGCAGCTGTTTTTTAACAAACACACCCAGACGTGAACACATCACCCCAGTCCTTTTCTCACTGCATTGGCTGTAATCAACAAAAGTTTAGTTTTGAGTTGATTTAAAAATGTCTCTTATTGTTTTTAAAGCCCTCAACGGTCTCACCTTCTGTACTTAAACTTTTGACTGTTTGTGACTCGGGCAGATCACCTTCGCTCCTCCTGGAAGAACCAAGGACCAAGACCAAACACTGGGGAGACCGGTCCTTCTCAGTCCTGGACCCAGACTCTGGAACAAGCTGCCCCTGATATGTGCTGAGTGCTCACTGATTTTGGCCTTTTTAAATCCTCTTATTTATTCAGACTGGCTTTTAACACTATTTTGTTGGTTTCTAACTTTTATTTTTTGATTGTGTAAGTGTTTTCATGGATATTATGTGATTTTATTGTAAAGCACTTGGGTCACCTTGAATTGATTGAACATTTCGATGAACCCAAGCAATAAGCTGATCCCAGGAATGCCTTCTTTAATATTTTGTTTTGTCCCTTTTTCTTCACAATCTTTTCCAAACAAACAAGCCTCACCCCGCAGAGTTCACCTTGTGCACCGCATGCCCTGAAATGCCTCGTCTGAGTTGTCCGACATCCTCACATTGCATGGCGGGGACTTCACACCTGGTAATTATCCACAGTTTTTGCACAGCCTTTGGGGACTGGTGTGGACCTGTGAGGGGAGCCAGGGACACGAGGCACAGGGTTGTACCTTTTCAGGCTGCGATAGTGAAAATTACCTCGCTCCTCCGCGGGTCCAAAAGCAGCCAGCAGACCTCATCGTGCCTGCGGTTCGCCCCCTCGCTGTGGCCCTGTCTTGTATAAATAGAACAGTATGGCGGCGCGCGTCACATCCCATTTGATGTGTTTTTGTTTCAGAGTAGTTCCATGGAGAGACAAGGCCACACCAGAGAAGACGTGTGTGCGTAAAAGACAATAGCTAACAGACAATGGGAAGATGCTCAGGGGAGGAGCTGAGAGGGACCGGGAGAGTTCCAGAGTGCAAATAAACACAAGGTTTACACTGCCAATTTGAAGGCATTTATGGATCTTTTTTGTGAGACTTTTGAAGCTATTTTCAAAACGCTGCAGCTTGAGTCCGGACAAGAAACTGGAAGAAGTATGATCTCATTAGTCCTGCTCTGCTTGTGTCTCTCCATGGCCACGTACCAAAGTACATTAGTGACATGTTAGTCCCATATGAACCAGCCCTCTCTGAGGAGCACAGGGACTGGACTCCTGCTGGGACTCTGAGGAGCACAGGGACTGGACTCCTGCTGGGACTCTGAGGAGCACAGGGACTGGACTCCTGCTGGGACTCTGAGGAGCACAGGGACGGGACTCCTGCTGGGACTCTGAGGAGCACAGGGACTGGACTCCTGCTGGGACTCTGAGGAGCACAGGGACTGGACTCCTGCTGGGACTCTGAGGAGCACAGGGACTGGCCTCCTGCTGGGACTCTGAGGAGCACAGGGACTGGACTCCTGCTGGGACTCTGAGGAGCACAGGGACTGGACTCCTGCTGGGACTCTGAGGAGCACAGGGACTGGACTCCTGCTGGGACTCTGAGGAGCACAGGGACTGGACTCCTGTTAGTGCCCAGAGTCAGAACTAAACATGGGGAGGCTGCTTTTCAGATTCATGCTGCTAAAATCTGGAACAGTCTTCCTGAAGATGTGAGACAGGCCTCCTCTCTGACAATGTTTAAAACCAGGTTAAAGACAGTCCTGTTTAGCTGTGCTACAACTGAGGGATTTTATGTTTTTATCTTTCTTTTTAATGTTCTGTGATTATTTATGATTTTAATGCTTTCTTGTTTTGTTCAGCACTTTGAGTTGCCTTGTGTATGAATTGTGCTATACAAATAAACTTGCCTTGCCTTAAACATAAGCGTGTCTTTCTAACACTATGCATGTGAATTTCCACTGAATATTTTGGTTTATGTGAAGGTCGAACTAGCATAACGCCGTCACGAGGAGGAGGACCTTGATTCCTCTCGTTTAATATCACATACATTCAGAATAACTATCTTTGTGTCTTCTTTAACATTAATAAAACAAGTCTTCCGCCTCTGACACCATCCCAGACTTTTTCACTCTGGAAGTCAAAATGAATAATAACCGGGTCATGGGCCAAACTTAACAAAGAAAAGTTTAATAACGTTTAAAAAGTTAGCGGTGTGATCAAACTGATTTTGGTCGGGTTCAAATTGACAATATACTTTTTTTGGGAGGTTTTCTTTATTTTGTATCATTCGTTTTTAACATTATCAGGTGTATTTTAACCAACTTGAATTTAACACAAGTTTGGATATTATTTTCCAATGGATTTTTCTGTATAAAACCAGTTTGACAGTTAGGGCCATTATTGAATGAATGACAATGAATGAATGACATTTTTATTTTTGGTCAGTTGTTTGATCAATAACACATTACATTCACTGACTATATTACAACCAAAAATAGGATTGGGCTGAAGCAACTTGCTTGTATAAGCCCAACCTGACATCATGACACATACAGGTCATTAGCTACTACACAGCAACTATATAAACAAACAAACAAAAAAGTACACATTACTGATTTAAAAGATAAATTACACATTTGGTAGAACAATGTATTTTTATTTTTTTCACTTATTTCTTTTTGTTATATCTTTATTATTATTACTTCTAAGACAAGATATATGACTTAATTATTTCACATTTTAAGGTAGTTTTAAATAATGATAATGTATTAATTAACTTAAGCTGGTCATTAAGATTATTCCACATTTTTACTCCAATGACAGACACACATCTATTTTTAACGTTAGTTCTGGATTTTCTTGTTTCCAACTGAAGAAAACCTCTCAGATTATAGCAACTTTTTCTTATTTTGAAGAAAGACTGAATACCTACAGGAATCTCTTTGGTTTTTACAACTCTGAATAAGATTTCTAAAATTTTTAACTTAACTATGTCCGTAAATTTTAGCATGTTATGTTCTATAAAAAGTTGGTTAGTAGAGTCACGATAACCCACTTTATTTATTAAACGTACTGCCCTTTTTTGTACTTTAATTATAGGATCTATATGTGTTTTATAAGTGGTTCCCCAGATCTCTGAACAGTAAGACAAATAGGGAAGCACAAGTGAAGAATAAACTATATGCAGAGATTTAATATCCAACACATGTTTAGTTTTATAAAGTATACCAATTGTTTTTGATATTTTACTCTTGACATATTGTATATGTGGTTTCCAGCTGATCTGGTGATCAATAATCACCCCTAAAAATCTAATCTGATTGACTCGCTCTATTTCAATCCCATTCCAGTACAATCTTATATTAGAATGAGCTCTACAGGGTCCAAAAATCATGAATTTTGTTTTATTCTCATTTAATGATAACTTGTTTAAGTCAAACCATTTTTTAACTAAAGTCAACTCGGTTTCAACCTGTTCAATTAACTTATTCATGTCATACCCTGAGCAAAACAAATTAGTATCATCAGCAAAAATCACTAACTTCAGTATTTTTGATACTTTGCAGATGTCATTAAAATAAAGAATAAATAATTTAGGCCCCAAAACAGACCCCTGGGGGATTCCACAAAGTAATGTTTCAGAATGTGATTTAGTTCTATTAATTTGGACATATTGACGTCTATTATTCAGGTAACTCTCAAGCCATTTATTCACCACACCTCTGATACCATAACCATTGCATTTCTCTAGAAGTAGTTTATTATCAATGGTGTCAAATGCTTTTTGCAAGTCTATAAATATTCCAATTATATTTTCTTTTTTTGTCAACGGCTGAGGTTACATTTTCTATCATGTCCATGACTGCTAGGGATGTAGATCTGTTACTGCGGAATCCATATTGTTGATCACTCAATATATCATTTTTTTCTAAGAAACAGTCTAGTTGTTTGACAAATAATTTTTCCAGAATTTTAGAAAATTGATCCAATAAGGAGATTGGTCTGTAGTTGGTTAACAAACACTTTTTACCATCTTTAAAGATTGGGAGGACTTTGGCCAGCTTCATTTTCTCAGGGAAGGTTCCTGTTGTAAAAGATCTATTGCAGACATATGTTAGAGGCTTAACAATATTTATCTATCTATTGTATACATCTAATATTTAGATGTATACAATTATTCATTGTATACATCTTTAACCTAATTACATTTTGGGCCAATACAGTGCCTGATCTTGTTACAGTATGGAAACAATCTCTAGTCGGAAACAAGTGAATTGTAAATGCATGTAGGTTTTTAAACATCCTTCACTGCTACTAATTACATAATTGGACAAATTGGTTAAGAACAAATATTATACCAGTCATTTTTGTTTTCATTGTAGCCTTTTGGTTTGAAGCATGCATACAGAAAATACTGGCATTTTTACACAGACTTTTAGGCAGCAATTATGTTCCAGTTTGTTTGGTCCGATGCGTAGGACTTGCCAAATCAATGCACAGTGTATTGCGGCACATTTCTCTTGTAGGAAAAAGAGAAAAGCCCACTGTCCTGTTCCTATCGCATTAATCCAAAAGTTTGTTCTAAATCTGATAAACCCTTCCACGTTTCTATGCCTTTATGTACAGCTGTGGGTCCTGAGGGGTTCGAGATGTCAATGGGCTTCATTAGATATACAGTAGATGCAGGGGAGAACAATGGAGGCATCTCAGGGGCACCCACAAAAACATGGATTAGGTGGAGATTATTAAATGTCAGCTCTTAAGACGAATACTTTTTACTCCCTCAAAGTAAATCAATACTACTTATCTTTGATAAAAGAGCCGGAGGAGATGTGCCAGCGTAGCAGCCCGACTGCTCCCTCTCCCCCCAGTCCCGCTCAAAACAAAAAACTGCATCGAATCAAACACAAGTAAATGGTATTTGGCCACATGTATGTAGCACTTTTCTGCTTCTCTTGCCTTTGTTCACTCAAAATGCTTCACATCAAGGAATCCATCACCCACTCACACACCAGTGTACGCACACAAAGGGGTGAGGTGGGTTAAGTGTCTTGCCCAAGGACATACAGCAGCAATCACCAATGGGAGCTGGTGTCCCTTGCTACCTGCGAGTCGGTCGATCTGACCACTCAAACAATCATGTGTTTTATGTCTGGAGCAGGACTCGAACCTCAGCTCCCCAGTGGACCAGTACTAGTGTTGCCATGGCTCTTCCCACAAGAGTTTTATTCAGAAATTGTATGTGACTCTTGAAATCGATAAGAGAAAGCTCAAGTGATGCCCCTGGAGAAAGTATTCTTAGAGATGACACACTTATTGAGTTGTTTTATTAGAAATACTTTCTAAACACATTTTAATTTCATGCTGGAGTCCCTGGGTCATAAAACCTCTTCTCAGCATGTTTAAGTACATTTAAGGTTCATTTTCCATGATATTAATTATATTAAGTTCAGGGTGCCAGGTCACTGTATAGAAATTGTCCTGGATTTCCGGAGCATGTAGTAATTCTGTTACTTGTGTTGGACTTTTAAAAATCAGATACTACAATATGATTCAAAGATACATGCTTCACATTCTGCTATCTTTGCTAATCTATTCTATCTTTATCTTTTCCATCTTTAAGCATTGTTCTGCTCATCCTTAAAGAAAATCTATTTTTCAAATCAGACAAATGTTAGCTGCACACCAGGGGATATACACGTTCCATTTCTCCATGCACCTCTGTGTCTAATACCAATCATTTCTCTCCACATTCTGCTTCATGTAGAAAATCCATTTTCTCAAAGGCATGCCGATTGACATCTGCAAATATTGATAGCAAACAAACCAATACGGCTCTGTCGATATCTGTGCGAAGCCTTTTACCCATGCTCATCTCCTGCTTTCAAAAACACGTTCGATGCAATGAGGTGCCCGGGCGGCTTTCCGCCCATATGCCATATCCTTGCGCTGTTCGCCATGTGCATGTGCAGTGCCACATCATAATTACAATGCAATATCATGCGTAAGTCAGTGCCCCTGCTGTTGTTTCACTTTCTGCTGCTCTTCCCTTCCATGAATATCAAATGCACTCCCGCTGAGAGCTGAAAGCCACGCAGCTCTCCCAGACACACAGGCGCTCTGTCAGTGTGGGAGAGACAGAGAGATGGGATACTTTAGACACTACTTTTCTCCTCCCGCTTTGACAGAAAAACTCACGTCGGGACCTCCATTTTCCCAAATACACTCAGCTTCCCTGTGGTCTGTTGTTAGCCCTGTCCGAAAAGGACAAGATAGGACTGCATCCCGCTCAGCCGAAGGGGCGGTGTGATATGTCTTATTCATGTCACATCCGCGATCAAAGCACAAAGGCGATCTGCCATGCAAGTGCAGAGGCCGCAGCTGGAGCTGGCCGAGGCGTGACGATTCATGCAGACGCTCCTGCCAGCAGCTGGGAGCTGGCCGAGGCGTCACGATTCATGCAGACGCTCCTGCCAGCAGCTGGGAGCTGGCCGAGGCGTCACGATTCATGCAGACGCTCCTGCCAGCAGCTGGAGCTGGCCGAGGCGTCACGATTCATGCAGACGCTCCTACCAGCAGCTGGAGCTGGCCGAGGCGTCACGATTCATGCAGACGCTCCTGCCAGCAGCTGGAGCTGGCCGAGGCGTCACGATTCATGCAGACGCTCCTGCCAGCAGCTGGAGCTGGCCGAGGCGTCACGATTCATGCAGACGCTCCTGCCAGCAGCTGGGAGCAGGCCGAGGCGTCACGATTCATGCAGACGCTCCTACCAGCAGCTGGAGCTGGCCGAGGCGTCACGATTCATGTAGACGCTCCTGCCAGCAGCTGGAGCTGGCCGAGGCGTCACGATTCATGCAGACGCTCCTGCCAGCAGCTGGAGCTGGCCGAGGCGTCACGATTCATGCAGACGCTCCTGCCAGCAGCTGGGAGCAGGCCGAGGCGTGACGATTCATGCAGACGCTCCTACCAGCAGCTGGAGCTGGCCGAGGCGTCACGATTCATGCAGACGCTCCTACCAGCAGCTGGAGCTGGCCGAGGCGTCACGATTCATGCAGACGCTCCTGCCAGCAGCTGGGAGCTGGCCGAGGCGTCACGATTCATGCAGACGCTCCTGCCAGCAGCTGGGCCGAGGCGTCACGATTCATGCAGACGCTCCTGCCAGCAGCTGGAGCTGGCCGAGGCGTCACGATTCATGCAGACGCTCCTGCCAGCAGCTGGAGCTGGCCGAGGCGTGACGATTCATGCAGACGCTCCTGCCAGCAGCTGGGCCGAGGCGTCACGATTCATGCAGGCGCTCCTACCAGCAGCTGGGCCGAGGCGTCACGATTCATGCAGACGCTCCTGCCAGCAGCTGGAGCTGGCCGAGGCGTCACGATTCATGCAGACGCTCCTGCCAGCAGCTGGAGCTGGCCGAGGCGTCACGATTCATGCAGACGCTCCTGCCAGCAGCTGGAGCTGGCCGAGGCGTCACGATTCATGCAGACGCTCCTGCCAGCAGCTGGAGCTGGCCGAGGCGTGACGATTCATGCAGACGCTCCTGCCAGCAGCTGGAGCTGGCCGAGGCGTCACGATTCATGCAGACGCTCCTGCCAGCAGCTGGAGCTGGCCGAGGCGTGACGATTCATGCAGACGCTCCTGCCAGAAGCTGGGCCGAGGCGTCACGATTCATGCAGACGCTCCTGCCAGCAGCTGGGCCGAGGCGTCACGATTCATGCAGACGCTCCTGCCAGCAGCTGGAGCTGGCCGAGGCGTCACGATTCATGCAGACGCTCCTGCCAGCAGCTGGCCGAGGCGTCACGATTCATGCAGACGCTCCTGCCAGCAGCTGGAGCTGGCCGAGGCGTCACGATTCATGCAGACGCTCCTGCCAGCAGCTGGAGCTGGCCGAGGCGTCACGATTCATGCAGACGCTCCTGCCAGCAGCTGGAGCTGGCCGAGGCGTCACGATTCATGCAGACGCTCCTGCCAGCAGCTGGAGCTGGCCGAGGCGTGACGATTCATGCAGACGCTCCTGCCAGCAGCTGGAGCTGGCCGAGGCGTCACGATTCATGCAGACGCTCCTGCCAGCAGCTGGAGCTGGCCGAGGCGTGACGATTCATGCAGACGCTCCTGCCAGAAGCTGGGCCGAGGCGTCACGATTCATGCAGACGCTCCTGCCAGCAGCTGGGGCCGAGGCGTCACGATTCATGCAGACGCTCCTGCCAGCAGCTGGGCCGAGGCGTCACGATTCATGCAGACGCTCCTGCCAGCAGCTGGAGCTGGCCGAGGCGTCACGATTCATGCAGACGCTCCTGCCAGCAGCTGGGCCGAGGCGTCACGATTCATGCAGACGCTCCTGCCAGCAGCTGGGAAACACCAACATCTGTCAGAGGCTCTTTCGAAGAAGCCTTTCTTCATCATGCGCAAGAGAGGAGCTGTTTGTATTTACACAAGTGGCCTCCAAGCGTTGTTATTCTTTATGGTTTTCTCAAGCTAATGGAAATATTTCACAAACAAGCGGATCCAAGGCTCACTTATGTGTCATCGTTGTATAAAAAAGTTTTACTTTATACCTCCATGTGTCTGTCCCCAGCTGCTGAGTTACCGAGACGCCACAAACATATCAATTCCGTCTGAAAAGAATGGAACGATGTAATATCAAATCAAATTGAATTAATTAAGTGCGTTTTATACAAATGGATGCAACACAAATGGAACACTAATGTAACATCCAATCCATGCAACGAGTTCCAGCTCTCAAAACAATTCAGCGTTCTTCTTCTCACACATTTTAGCTTTTTCAAAAATATGTGTTCTATTATAATGACAGCATGTTGTTGACTCTTTCTGTTGACTATGTTTAGCTTTTAACTGTGTAACAACGTTGTTCCCTCCACAAAACAGACCTGTTGTTGCATCTAGATCCATCCAGGTTAATCAGAAGATACTGGCACAAACACTCTGCCGCACCAGTTTACTGTATTTAAAAAAAAAAGGTAAAAAGCATAGATTAGTTTTTTCAATCTCTCAGAATAAATACCATGCCTGATGAATACCCAGAGCCATAATGTTACTCATCTGCACCTAAACCTCTGGTGTATGTGAGTATAATGTGTGAGAAAAGTAGCTGGTTGTAACGTCCCATTGTGAAGATGGACAGACATTTTTGAATGAATGCTTAGACCCGCCCCCACGGGTTCCTGATTGGATGCAATGGAATACAATCCTTGACAGACTCAGACCCCATTGGGCTCTGTTTTCCTCTAGATTCATTGTGAAAAATACTTCCATGCTTAGATTATACTACAGGGACATATGGTCCATAATGTGTTTTTTTAATTTACTTTTTTAATGTATTATTTTTTTAAAGTATTATTATCCAAAAGAAAAACAATTGAAGTGGCAGAGATCACCTTTAAGACGTAAGACCTCAGGATCAATATGGCATTATAGAGAACACTGCTGTTGGGTATATTTATAAATGTAGTTATTTAAAAGCATCGTAAACTACTCCTTCCTACACAAGTGCACGAGGCCTTGCACAGCCATCCTGAAAGACAAGATATTCTCTGCATGTCTTCAATACAGATTCTTCTTTTTGACATAAGGTTTTCTCTCCCTTCGAAACTCTTCCAAAGTAGCATTTGACAGATGTTTCCTTTTCAAAACCTTCCACCATAACTGAGAAGAAAGTCGCACCTTCTCACCACTCCTGTGTTTATTGAGTAAAGCACTAATTCAAAGCAAGTGCCTGCGGCGGTAATATAAACAGATTATCAATTCAACTCAGGGATAGGGGCTCTTTTATCTATGAATCGCAATCGACAAACACATTTTACACCTTCTGATGTCAGCTCTTCAGGCAACAAACAGATGCCAACCCAAACATTTTTGCGCTAACGGTAAAGACCCAGATAATAACAATTTGCGGCAAATTGAAGCATGTGTTATTTTGTAAAACTGCTGACAGTAAAATGGCAGCGAACATTAAACAAACGTCCGTCAGTTGTAGGTGGTGAAACATTAGAAGTTTCATTTGAAGATTTGAGGCGTGTGAGAATAACACATCAAAAGTGCATCGCAACAGATAAAACATGAGGGTGTGAAGGAGTGAACATTTGGTGAAATGGGAAAGTAGTTGGTTTCTCAAAACACACTTGGCTGCGAGGGTCTTCATTCTAACTTGGCAACTTTGGTTTCCAGGTTTTAGTTTCACTGAGTGAGTTTACAAAGCTCTGGTGAAAACTGAGGTCTCTTACTCCCTCCAAATGACTTTGATTGATACGTCAGTCGGATTGGAGTGAGACTTTAGGCAGTGATGCATTTGTGTGTGTGGCACAGTCCAAGATCACAACTTTATCCTAACGCTGACCCTACTCTGGAGAATCGTTATGTCATCGCACAGCTTCCTTTGCTATCAAGGTTTAGGCCCCGGTGGTTGGCTCATAATCTCCTTTAAATGTCTTTCTCGCATAATGTCTTTCAATACCGTCGTTGAAACTAATGCACCACCACTTTTTCCTTCTGTGGTTTTTAAAAAAATTGCTGCGGGGCAGGATAATATGAAAAAACGCATTTGAGAAGTGCATTCAAAAGTCCACATCGACTAAACTAGACTGGTCCAAAAGCATACTCCCATCAGCATCAACACACATTGGAACGCAGCGTTGGGCCAAGAGCCACTTTTAGATCATCCTGTAAAGACGTTTTCAAGAGGAAAGAAGGCGGCGTACAAAGCGTTTGGGTAATTCTCTTTCCGGGTACACCGCTATTTAAAAATGTCACTCCATCTTCACAATTTGACAAGTCATTATGAGCAGTATTAAGGAAAATTAAACTACAGGTATTTACTTCCTTGTTTTTTAATATTGAAAAAGAAAAACGTCTCACACACTTTATTATCCCCGGTGGTTTAATTACAGATGAACAACATTTTGGCTGTGAGTCTTCATCAAGCAAATGTTTTTTCTAACCATCATGAGATGGTCCGTCACTGGCTGATCATGTGATTTAGGCCTGATGTATACTTTTTGAGTAACCCATGTGATGGCGTCAGCCCCACTCAATTTATGATGACTTCTTATAATGAAAGAAGAAAAAGAAGTTTTCCTGACGTAGGTTATGCTTCTGCCCGGTTAAACTGTCTAATCAAGCAGCTACAATATATTCATACAAACATGCCAATAAATATTACTCTAATGCAATCTTTAATTTAGTCTTGAGCATGAATGAATCACTCTGTTGGCATGAGAAGAGAAAACATTTGTAACATGGTAAATTGACCCAAAAGGATTATGCACAATATGTGCGATATTGGTGTTGTACTGTCTCTGGTTTAATAACTGGGATTTTGTTTTAGACTCTCAGCGAGAACACCTGCAGAATGTAAACGCTTTGCTCGGAAAGTTCCTCATCCAATTAAAATACTTGGTACAAACAAATCTTCATCATTAGGTTGTGCATATTTTATGGCCATTACTCATCTCTCCATATGCTTCATCTAGACCTGGTGCATTATGGGAGTCAACACCCCTCTCATCCCTAAGAGCTGACTAAGTACAAACCGCTATAACAAAGTACCTCCAGCTCACTCCAGCCTCCACACACTCACATTAGCATTCTTCATTAGATATGGGAGATAAGGCAAAATAAATCAATCCAGCAGCATTAGTGAGGGGCCTCTGCTGTGCACTGTCTCCTGGGAGCCAGCGTCATGATGGCTGCAAATTAATTTGTGACATTCAGAATTGATTTTCTTATCCCACATGGTATTTGATAAATAACCCTTCAGAAAGAGAACACCTCAGACGATAAATACAGTTATTATCTCTTCCAGGCGTGATTAGTGCATCCCGTGAAGACGCAGAACCCCTGGCTCCATCGCCGTGTCGTAACAAGCCCAAAAGTAGCACGACTAATAAAAGTTGTTGTTGTGTGATAGACAATCAAAGTGTTGCTCGCCGTGGCCCCGGGTGACACGGGGACGGGTCGAATGAGGCGCAGAGACAGAAGCAGCTTTCCCGGGAGGCAAAGTGAGTAATATTGGTCCAATTACAGATGTGCTAATAGGGAAAGTTCAGAGAGTAATCACAGATTCTAAATTGCAGAAAAATAAACTAAACAAAATTGTGAGTTTGTGTTTCAAGAAGTTTCCCTTTTACTTAAGAGAGAAAGAAATATACAAAACTAGGAGCTTGTCAAAGTTGGTAAATGAGGAGACAACGGAAGATCTGAAAGATCTCCGCTCCTGTGGACTCACCACCTGCAGGAGGATCAGTGAGGGGCTGGTGCTCTGTGTCCTGGGTGCAGCTCTGACTGCAACCCCCCCGACCCAGAAATGGATTAAGGGGAAGAAAATGGATGGATGGATGGATGGAGACAACGGTTAAGCACGGTCTGTGTATAAAGGCAACTTCATTCATTAATGTTCTACCTCTATATTAGTCCATTATTCAGGCAACTTCTAACATAAAAAGGCCGCTGTCAAGTATTGTATGTACTTTATTTGAACAGGGACAGTGTACAGTTAAGCATTAACACAAAAGGAGAGATGCATGTACCAGGTTATAGCAGAGATGCTAATGTCCACCTGTAGTCCCTGGGCAGGCTGGTGTTATGTTCATTTAAACTGATTTCAATGTAGATGAATACATGACTGTGTCTTACATTTACAGGCTTTAAATAACATCATTCACCAAAACATTAAGTTTAATAACAATAAATAAAGTTCCCAAATTTCTACTAGATTCTACTAGAATATTACCCTCACTCACTTGTGCGTGCAAACTTGCTTTTTCAGAAGCCATTTCTTAGTCAGCCAATAAAATGTTTTAAATGTAGTACATGCAATGACCTCTGGGGGCAGTGTGTTCCACTGACTCATGGCCGTCACAGAAAAAGCAGATTTAGCAAAAGTTGTTCTACATTTTTTGACGCTGCATTCTCCTCTAGAAGTGGATCGAGTGGTTCTGGTCATTTTGTCTGCACTCAGTGAAACAAATTTTCTTAGAGGAGGCGCACTAACACCATGGATAAAGTCCACGCTTAGAACTTAGAGAATAAAGAAATCTGGTCGCTCAACTTCCAGATATTGTCCCCTCAAATAAAAAAGACAAAGAACACATTAAGAGACAGTTTTTGTGTGAGAAATATTATTAATATGCGAGTCCCCACGTCTTATAACAGTGTTTCCATATCATAGTCTCCGTAATGCCGTTTGTCCGCTGCCATGAGAACCACTGCAGCACCCAGGGACCCATCTCCAGACGTTGATGTATATTAAGGAACCCGGAGCACCAAGAGCTGTCCAGTCAAACTCAGGCTCGGGGGTCAAATCTGGCCAACAAGACAATTTTTAGTGGCCCCTAAAATGATTTTCAACTAATATCAATAACTTTGCAGCATTGATGGTAATGAGCTATCAGGCATCTTATACATTCTCCATGGTCCCAGGAAAAATACCAAATGTAACTCAATACATCGTTAGAAGGTAAATAGTTAAATATAATGTGTTTAACTTCATATTAACATATTATTTTCAGATAAAAGTCAAAACACCTTCAAAATGTAAAAAAAATCATGAGAAAAGGAAATCTGTTCTATTCTTTCGGCCCCAAACCAGTTCCAGATTTGTTTTA